GATTGAGATAGATGTTATGTCAGCGAGTAGTATCCATCGTTTAGATAAATTTAGTGATCAAAACTTGACATTTTAAACTTTAGAAAACAATTGAAAATAGAGACATAACTTCAGTGACCATTTAGACAATTAACTCGATTTATGCACATGAAGCCTTGAATTGAAATTAAAATTTAAGCCAAAACTTATAATTAACTTTAAATATATGTTTCTTAAATTTTGAATTATATATTATATTAAATTTTATCAAAATTGAATAGAGAAATGCTATTTAACTTTATTGAGATTGCAATGCCATCATTTAATTTCACATTTCATTTAGGCTTTGATGGTCTACTATTTTTTCACATTCTACCACATTATTTTTTCTACAGTACTCATTTTCAATTACACATTTTTCATTAAAATAATATTACATGTAAATTAAAAAAATTTCCTTCTTTTTAATCACACATATCAATATTAATTACTATTCCATAATACATTACTCATAAATAATGAGGTACAAACAAGCACTTAGTTACATTTAGCCATCTAAATTAGGGCTATAACCCCTACAACTCCAATGGAATTACATAGCATTACTCAATTGGATAATATTATTTAGCACCAATCTATGTGTCATGCAAGTGATTGGACATTCTCATGTAATTTATTTTCCTACTTTAAAGGTGAACTATTAATTAATGATACTTGCACGCTATTTAAACTAATATTTAGCACTAGTGGTTCTAAATAACATTACTCATCAAAATTTAGCCATTATTTGATGAGGATTAAAATCATATTTTTAGCAAATTTTGATAAAAATTCTTGAAAATGTGTGATTGAAAAGTTATAGGTCACATAAATATATGATTAGAATTAAATTTTGAACTTTGACTATACCAAACAGGGACTTATTAAAAATCTGCTCTTCATTTAAATCACCAATTTTGCTACAGTTATATTATGGTTGACAGTTTTATTTACATTCCATGATGTGGTATATGATTTTGCCATTGATTTTAACAACACTTGACCAATTAATAACATCAATTTTTACACATCGCAAAATGTCGTTCATGATGTACAAGTAGTCACCAGCAGAGCCAAAAAACTGCTAACTAAAACCTTTCACGAATTACTTGGAGATTGCACACAAACCAGAGATGAAAATTGAATTCCTAATTCTCTTAATCACCACTCTCTGAGCTCTAAACTTTCCATGAACAAACCGTTAGAAAAATGAACCAAATGCAAGCAGGTAAAATATGCAATGAGGAAGTTTTAGAATTTAGAATTATTTCAATTTTTAGTTCTATAATTTTGAATTGTCTGAAGACATATAACTTTAGGCAAAAAGCTTAGTTTTAATGGAACCATCAAGTCTTATTTGATAAAAATCATGCCCTACTTCGAGATAGCCCAGCGATAGCAACCTTCAACTTTTTAGGGTTGATAGGGGTATATTTGTCAATCCGCAGATCATTAGCAATTGAGACTAAAATCAAGGTATCTTAATTAGTATATTCACAAAATCTTGGATTTTTCCTCTGGTCCATATTTTTATTCAAGAAAAAAAAAGGACACACACAATAAACATCTATCTTCTGTCCAAAAAAATGATTCATTGAAATAATGAATCACCATTGATATATTTTACTACGAGAATTGAAGCACGTAAATCCAAATTTCCAACCACAAATAAAAAGTGGGAACAATAAGATATTAAGAAGTACATAACAGAGTAAACTGGAAAAACCTATTGATTTTCCTTTTTTTTTTTTAATTTAAAAAAAATATATCATAATTTTTAGGTGATTGAACACCCTTTGCCAAGCCCACCCCTGCTAGTAGCTTAATCCTTAAACCAAACATGATTAAAGTATTTTATTTTTATTCAAGCCTTTGTCCACCTTCTTTTACACCTCATATTTTCTTTTTCTCACCTCTTTTGACTTCTTTGGAAGAATTCTATTTAGACAGTGCCTATGCTCTGTCCAAACAGGGGCCTAATTGGCGCCTCCGATTGGTGTGGGCCTGGCACCCTCTAGCCATTTCAGAACCCTGGACGGACAGGGCCACGTGGCCTTGTCCATCCAGCATTGTTCGACTTCTTTTATCTTTCACACTTTTTCATGAGTCTTTCTGTGAAATTATCTTTTACCTATTTTTGAATAGAATTTCGAGTATGGGAGTGCTTTTAATCCAACAATGTATTGATTTATCCCATTAATCCAACGATTCGAATGATGTGGTCTAGGAGCAATTGATCATGTCAAAGTTTGGGTCAATTTAGGAGTCTTTTGATAAACCACCCGATCTTATTGAAACATTCTGGAAAAAAAAATCATTTTGTAATTATAGGGCTACAAAGGCTGACCCACCATGGAGTCATGTGGGGTCAAATGACCTCACAGTTTTTTGAATTTTCTTCTTTTTTTTCTTGCTTAAAACGTAATTTTCGAACAGAGTAGTGAGCCAACCCAATTAATTTCCCTAGCCTAATGACCAAAAAGCCCAAACCCAAATTCTATTGTAGAATCATATGATCTTATTTTCGTTAATGATACGTTCTTTGAAAAAAATTACAATTTTTTATCCCATAGTTCAAACTGTCTGGATCCCCCCTGTAGGGCTAGGAACATGAGCCATGGACTTTTAGGTAAGAATTGCACCCTTACCACTCGAACTATATACACTTCGTAAACCTGTTTTGTATAAATTATCTTTTCATCAATCATATAAAAATATTTTTAAAATAATTATAGCTCCATATTTTACCTCATTTTGTAATTCCAGATAATTATTTAGACACTTACTATGTATGAAAAGATTATATTTAATTAAGATAAACTGAATATTTAGTACCATATTTATTAAACTCGATCCGGACATCGACCCGATCGAGATACCGGGTCGCGAGTTAGTGATTGGACCGGTGAGTCATTACTTAAAAATTCTAAAAAGTTTTTTTATTTATAATATGAAATTTTCTTTGAGATAAAATTAAAAATTTTTAAATTAGTTATCATTAATTATTTATATATTTTTAGATTATTTTGTTAAATATTCAATTCATTTTAATTAAAATTAGGACTATAATTTTTTTATCAAAAATATTTTTTAATAAAGTATATATATTATGGCAAATAGGTAACATTAATCTATTGAGCTCTAGTTGTTAGGTATTGCCCATCCAATCTCGAGGTCCAAGGTTAAAGTCTCAAGTCTTTTAAAAGTCAAATATTTAAGGAAAAACTTTTAAAATTCAGTCAAAGCAAGGTTTGAAATAAAAATTGGCCCGATTTGATAAGAAAACAGCTAATTAAATCGGTCAACATGCGGGTTAACTCGGTTAAATTGTGAGTTTGATTGAGTCATTTGCATTTGTGTAAAAATATTCAACCCGGCCTGACTAAGGGCCCAAGCGATCGATTTCTCGGCCCGACATCGGCCAGTCCAAGCCTGGCTTGATTACTATGTTTAGTACTATAAATTTTTGGCCAATAATTAATAATGATTTGTACATAATAGAAATGAAAATAGTATAAAATATACAATATAATATACAAAATTATAAAATCAAGATGTAACAATTATCGTTTAAATGAGTTTATGCGCCCTCGTTTGGTGCACATTATTTGAGAAAATAATACATTTTTTTCATCAAATCAGCCTATAATTTTTTACTTCAACACTCTAAGATAGAACCCATGATGTGATGTTTAAAATGCATTTTTGTTGGAAAAATGTGGAACAAACGGGCTCGAAATCAATAATTCATAAAATACAAAAATTATTAGGGACAAATAACTTAAAAATTCAATTATGTCCCAATGAGAAAATTTTATAATTTAAATAAATTAAATAATTTTAAGGCAACAACTCACCGGTCCAATCATTAAACACTGATTCAACCATTAACTCAATGATCCAACACCTCGTTTGGATTGATTCTAATAACTATATTTTTACTTATTCTTAAACATAGCCAAACATGTTCTAACTTGCATCATGAGTTCATTCCCAAGAAAGGTCACCAACTTGTCTATCTCAACGCTCATTTCGTTCTAATCCATATCCAATTTTTACTCCTATTTTTATTGCTTTTAAGAAATAATCCAAATTAATGACATAAAATAAGTACAGATGTCAAAATAAGTAGAAACCATCCAAAATATATTAACTCAATCGTTTGTTGGATTTCAACAACCATGGCATAATTTGGCAATAGATTTTATTAATATTGACTATTAATTTCTAAGAATTAAAGACAAATACCAACTATTAGTATGTAATCTTGACTTCACATCGCCATTAATGTTACATTAAACAATTCCTACTTGTAAAATTAAATATAAATGAGAGTGAAAGATGGGAGCCTTACTTGCAATTATTACTAACTTTGTATTGGAAATTACCATTTATTTTGTGATGAAAATTTCCATTTGAAAGTAGTCTCAATGATTATTTTGTACAATACAACTTGTCAATAGTCGTTTAACCACGTAAATAAATTATTAAAAAAGAGTAAAAGTAATATGTAAAATTAAATAGAAAGATTCGATCAAAGTTTGTTAGAAATTTCTTTTATAAAATTCAGATTGAACAACGCTATAAGTACACACACACACACACACAGAGACATACATACATACATACATACATATATATATATATATATATATATATATATATATTTATTTATAGAATTTGTACAAAAAATAGTTACCTTCTTGTAATTGGTTATTGTCAAAAACAGTTTTTAACAATAACAAATCATAGAAAGACAATTGTCTTTCTGTACCAATTTTGTTAAAAAAATCTATACTTGCAGAGTAATTGATAATTTGATACCTCAAATAAACTTTAAAGGGTGTTATCTCATAATTTTAAACATAAAGAGTCAATCTCGAATTTCCCAAAACTTAAGGGATCAAACTCAAAATTTCTCCCTTTTATTACCTTCAAAACAAGTACAGTGGATACCCCATTCTTCTCTCTCATCCCTAAAAACTATTTTTCAATTTCCAATTATTTTTGCCATTTCACTTCAAATAAACATATATTTATTTTCCAAACCCATAAAACATCACAGGCTAAAACTATCAAAATCACCCCCTTGTACATGGCATTTCATGTTTCTTGCCCAATTACCTGGTACGGGTACCCCGCTAAACTAATTCTTTGGACCAATGATTTATAGTTATGGATACGGACGCCTATATCTATTTTTATAGTCTTTTCACGCACTAGAGTGTGTTTCTGTTTGTGGGTTTCTCGTTTTACTACATTCAGTTCTCTTTCCATTGATTTATTTGGTTATGGATACAGACGCCTGTATGCGTTCGTATAAGTTTTTTCGCTCCTTAGAATATGTTTCTGTTTGTGGGTTTTTCGTTTTACATTTGAGTTCTCGTTTTTCTTGCATTCTGTGTTGTTTTGCAGCCGGAAGATATGCTTTTGTAACGAGGGATTTCCTCCGCATCTGCGGAGTAAGGAGGCCAGGCATGAGTTTGAGCAGCAGGTGGCTATGCTTGAGCAATTCGCGAAGGACCCATGGTTGATTAGGTCCAGGCCGAATGCTACGGTTGAGGTTATGGTCCCTAAAGTTTTCCGCACTCCGGTTTCTGGTTCGACTTCAGTTCCGGCTCCGCCGCAACATCCATCAGTGTCAGCGGTGGACGGAAAGGATAAAGGAGAGGACGAGGTGGCACTGGCTAAGGCATCGGCCCAGGTGAAGAGGGCGTCATTGCAGAAAAGGGCTGCAGCTACGTCAATGGCGGCCGAGGATTACGCGAGAAAGTTTGAGTCCGGTGATTTATCGGTGAGGGTTCATAAACATGCAAGACTGGATTAAATTCGCATTTTCTTTTATTTGGATCTTCGTATGTGAATTCTTAAGTCTTTGAAAATTGAAGCATTCTAAATTGTCTTTTTTGATTTTGTTACCTTTGCATCTCTGTATTAAGCAATGGATTTTCTGCTAGTTTGGCTTCTGAAATGTGTGGCATGAACTGTATGTACGTGCAATTCTTTCTTTTCTACAGTTTTTTTGGGGGATGTTATGGTGTTTCACATTTAATATTCTTCTCGATGTAAATTTTTATTGTAAACTATGTGTCCGGAAAATTTGTTTTATTATGATGAAATC